GGCTGGCCAGGCTACTAGAATCACTTTTAAGCAAGTAAAGCAATCTGGTCTTTGATACGTTTTTTTGGGGTTAATTAGATGCTGAAAACGACTCCGTTTGCTGTGATGGGTACAACCTATAGAGGGAATAAATCCTTAGAAGGAAGATGTGCTGAACATTCGCTCTGGTCTGGGATTACAAAGTCTCACGTCCTGCTGCTTTTACGGGTGGTTTCGCCGACTTTGTCAGTACCTGTGGTCAACACAAGGGGCAAGCTGCACCTGCCTAAAGTAGGCCAATGTGGAAGTGAGAAGTGTTGCAGTTAACCTGTCATCCACTGGGGTGGATCCTGAAAGGGGCAAGTTCTTATCAGCCCTTTTTACAAGACACACCATGCCGGCAAATCGGCGTAATATTACCGCAATGGTATGTCTATAAACGTGCCATGCTAGCTTGGCATTGCGCAAGTTTGTGGCATTCGTTCCGCCTCGCTTGGTAGTAATACTGCGGCAATGGTCTGTCGTATGTGCCCTGGCGCAACAGAGGCAGATGTCATGATAACGTGGGGAGTTATTGCAGAGCTCCAGCTGGCAAATTTATTGAAAATTAAAGTAAACACAGGCAATACGGTTTGCTTTTTGAACAAAATCAGCTGAGATGGCAAACTGGAGTGCCGCAGCGCTCCACGAGCCTGTCTGTTAGGGGCTTGACACACGGGAGGCGACAAATGACCGCGATCAGCGAAATTCGTCGCTGTCGGGAGGCGATCCGCTGCAACGGCCAGCGGCAAAGCCGTCTACGCATTCTGACCCATGGCGAAATCGAAACTTCCGTTGTTTTGTTTGACTGTGTCAGGTTGGAGGGAATTAAGGTTATTTAAGTGGTTCAGAGTTAATAAAGTGGTAGATATGATGTTTCACAAGGTAGAGTTATGTGAAATCCTACTTCTGATTTTACTATATAAAACATAATAATAATCAACTTCTCCTCCATGTTTGTTCGGAGATGTACGGAGCATCCTGTCCGCCCATTGGTCAGTGAATGAAACCTCTGTTGATTGGTCCTCGTCCGAGTGACAGTGATGAAAAGTTGAAAATATTTCAACTTTCAGGGATTGCGTCACTGGGTCGCCTGTGCACGACACGTGCACGAGCACAAAATTTCACACGCACGTTTTTCGCGTTTCGCTTAGCAGGAGGGAGACCCGAGATTATCGCTTTTTCGTGCATGTTTCATTGAAAATTAATGGAGGAGAGACGATGTCGCCTCCCGTGTGTCGAGCCCATTAGAGCTGAAGCTCAGATCACCAGAGACTGCACAGGGACTGATGGGGAAAGACACCTTTAGGAGCTGCTTGTTAAAAAAAAGTAACACGTGACTTAAGGCTATGGTTGGTACTAAATGCACTGTGATTTATTATCGTGTGATTGTTCAGTTAAACAATGTTGATTATATATTTCTTCATCAAGTTGACGCAGTTATAGCTTGATCATGTTGTATTGTTGTTGTGTCCCATTTTTTTTTTGCTTTTTTTTCTTCTCTCTTTCTGCAGTTCTAGAAGCAGACTCTTGTTCATTATTGTTTATTTTTGTGGACCCCCCCCATCTTTTGTCTCTTCCTTTCTCTTTCACCTCTGTCTCCATGTCTGGTTGGAATTAAAAAGCATCCAAAAACAATAACAATAAAGTTTTAAGTATCAGGCGTGACATTAAAAGCAGACGCTTTGATGCTCCACCCGAGAGTAAACCTGTAAGGCTTGTTACCAGCATTCAGACATCGATTCTGTTTGCTTCACAGCCAGACAGGACACACAAAAAATAACGTAACAACCACGGCTTCAATCGCAATATAAAGCAAGTTATGTCCAAGATAAATGGGAGTCTGCAGCAGCGCAGAAACCGCCCCATACTCCCTTTATGCCTCCATCACCTAATCTTTTATAAAATTGCCACGATTGCACCGAATTACCGCCACGGTCTGATCTTATGTTTATGTTTATGTTTATGTGCTTAGCAGACGCTTTTACCCAAAGCGACTTACAATTTTTTTAAAACTTATATAAACGACTTTTATCCTCCCCAGGGAGCCGTGGCAAATCCCGTTTTGCAAACGCTATAGTCCTGTAAAAACAGCTATCGACACCCATGTTAAAAATGCCAGCTTCACAGCAGGAAGAACATGTTTACAGCCTGGTTCAGAAAACATCGTAGGTTTGCTAGCGCTAGTTTCTGTCGGTATTTATGTTAAACTCTGAACACGTCAAACACGACATGGAAAAACAAAAATACGATGAAGCTACCGAGTTCGTCAGCAGCGTAATTATTAGATGTGATGAGTTAGGTTGCAACCATTACCAGTTGGGGGGGGGGGGGGGGCAACACATGGTGCGCTCCTGTGTTGTCCGGTTTTGGTAGACAATCACTGTATTGCACAACAGTGTACTAAGGTGCGTGCCTACCGGGGGTGGGGGTGTGGGGGTGGGGGTTGTACAGTAGCACTATGTAATAGGTATCTTATGCACACATTATTCTTTTTTCAGTGTAGAACATTGGGGGGGGGGGGGGGGGGGGCGTGACAGCATCATTGTGAGAGTTTGCAGCCATGCTTTGGACTTTGCCTTCTGACCAGAAGCAGGACACAATACAATAAATATGACACTTTGTGTTGCCATATTTGTCTCCCTTTGTCTGACCAGTACCAGGTAAAGGCTGCTCCAGCACAGTCGGGTTACACTGAATTTTTTCAGTTTGACACATGTTTAATTTTTGCTGTTTACTGATCTTTTAAAACTCGCTTAAAGTGAGTTGAGTACATTATGGTAAAACATTGAGCCATATTTTCGTACGTTTCTAACACTATCGCACTAACCCCCTCTGCTTTGTACAATATTTCCATATTTCAGTCATCAGTTCAGTTTAGAAAGCAGAAGATCTCATTTTGACGCCTGCGGGCTGAAACCACCAGACTGAGTTACGATTGAGCAAAGGCTGAATGAAAGCCCTGATCATGATCTGTCTCAGTCTCAATGGTTCAACAATTTGTTCACATTCATGGTGGAGAGTTGCCCCACTGATCTTCACACAGCCTGCGTGACTTAGAGCAGATCTCGTCTTGAAGCAGCTGCAGCTTCATCCAGTTTCCACTACCTGATGTTCAGACGGCGATGCTTTGTTTTCTCCTTTTCATCTCAGAATCCTTGAGACTTAAATTAGGCCCCGAGGGCGCGAGCGGATCGATGAGCGTGCTGCAGGTGCACACAGATGGGAACAACAAGAGCAGGCATTTTGCTTTTCCTTTCATTGGAATAAAACCTGCCTGATTGAGAGCTGAGGGTGGAGAGATGAGTGAGCTTGTGTCCACCAGCAGCACTTTCCAGCGCTTCGTTCTGCTCTCACAGCCGGCGTTCATTAGTTGGTCGACGTATTGACCATGTTGTTGAGCAAAACGGAGATCAAACAGAGCTACAACAGGGACACCTGAATTCCTGAAAACAAACTGCTATTGATCCGTGTAAGTAAGTTGAATAAGCAGAGCATAAGAGCCCGCTTTGAAGGTCCAATCCAATGTCAACATTACAGCACCACCTCTGCTTCCACTTCTCTGCTCATCCCCTCAACAACTAGCTGCTGGTATCGACTGGTCGGAGCATTACAGTGTAAGTGGAGTCCTCTTTAGTGCAAATAAAGCTATACTGGGTTATTTGGGCTGGAGCCTTGCCAGCCTTTAAACCCACACAACCCAAACTCAGTGGCACGAGACTCAGAAATAATAAACGCCTTTATGTGGTTGAAAAATTATTTCCAAATCTAGTGTGTCTTTTTTTTTGGAATGATCACATGGTTCTCAAGTTACATGAAAACCTGCTAAATATCTAGTAAAAAACCTCGAATGTGTTTCCTAGTTATCCATCTATTCATCCATCCATCCACTCACCCATCCATCCATCCATCCACTCACCCATCTGCCCATTCATCCATCCATCCACTCACCCATATGTCCATCCATCCATCCATTCATATATCCAACTATTCATCCATCCATTCATCTGCCCATCCTGTATCTGAGGTTAGGTCATGGAGACAACAGATCCGGGAGGGAATCCCAGACCTCCCTTCTTCCAGCAACACTTTCCAGTTCCTCCTGGGGGGTATCATGGTATTCCCAGCCTGCCTTGGGTCAACTCCCATTGGGACAAAACAGTTCCAGTAAAAGGTGACCAAGTGGCCCCCTGATCAGAACTACTTCAGATGGATTATTTAGATGAGGAGCCCCCTCAAGATGACAGACGGGCAAATGTAGTCACCAAACAAAAAGCAACAAAGACTTTAAAAGATGTAATCATTATCATACCTTTATTACAGCCCACAAAACAAGAGGCTGCTTCCTCTTGTAAATCAAGCACCGTAGACAAATTCTGCACCATCTAAAATGTTCTTTCCCTAAACAAAGATGACTTGATGACTAGGAGGGGACCTGGAGGGAATCAGCCCCTCACTACAGGTACCTTTGTTTCCAGTTCAACCAAAAACAAGGTGGTCTAGTTAAGGCAGCTTTGATTACACTTGCCAACTTTGCATGTCAACAACAACAACCTTTGATTCTGGGATTATTAGCTGTAGAGGTTTTGGTAATGAACAATCAACATGGACACAGATGAATGAGTGACTAAAGCATCTGGGTGAAATCCGAATAAAATGATTAAATCCAGGGCAAACACACTCACACACACTCTCTCTCACACACTCACTCACACACACGCACACACACTCTCACACACACGCACGCAGACTCTCACACACACTCACTCACTCACTCTCACACACACGCACGCACACTCTCTCACACACACGCACACTCTCTCACACACACACTCACTCACACACGCGCACACACACACTCTCTCTCTCTCTCACACGCACGCACACACGCACTCACACACACACACACACACACACACACACACACACACGATGATAATTTTTCATCATCAAGCTCCGTTATTTTCTGAGCAACGCCTCTTTGCTCATTGGTACAGCTCATTGGCTGTTAGTACACTTGCATGTGATTGGTTGTTGTGGTCCGTGGGCGGGGCTTCTTTCAGGAAGCGAAAGAGATTGTTGTTTTCCTCACGCGCCGGCAGCAGAAGCAGCAACGGCTAACTGTTCGGCGGGTTGTTGTCCTAGACGAGGTTGGTACCGGCGGTAGTGTGAGCCATTCTGACCCGGCAGCCGATAACCTAGCCGGTAACGGAGCTGTTACCTGCCGGCCTCCAGTCAGCTGACTGGACCTGAAAACACCCAGAAGTTCGGCTGAGTCTGAGGGGAGCCCGAGCTCCATGCCTTTTTTTCAGTTTGTTTTTGGTGTTTGACTCTGAGATCGTTAGCTGTAGCAGCTCCTGACCTTTAACCTGTAGGATCTGTAATTTCTCTGTTCGTTGACATTTTACGTCAGGTGAACCTGCCAAAGTGTGTAGATCATCACCTGTTTGTCTAGTTGTGATTGTTCTGACCTTTGACCCCCCTGCTAACACGTGTACATGATAAATGACCCGCACTTGTATAGCGCCTCTCACAGTAAGGACTCCAAAGCGCTTTACACTACAGTGTATCATTCATCCATTCACACACACATTCACACACTGACTGACTGCTGTGTATGCTCCGGAGCAGCAGCCTGACAGAGCACCTGGGTTTATGAGGGATGATTACTCTGGTGGACATGTACTCCATCTGGACCCTTGATGATGTCTGAGCCCGTGAGGGCCAGAGGACGTGTTGTTGGGCTGGTTATGAGGGAAACGGCGTTAGAGATGGAACAGGATGTGCTTGTGTTTGTGATGACAGGATGAATGAACTGGGTCTGATGTATTTTCATTCTCCACAGGTTGGATGGCTCCACCCAGAAAGAGTCGGCTACCTAAACCTCTTCCTGAGGGTTTCATCCTGATGGACACTGAGAGGAAGAGATGGAGACTGGGAAAGGTCATTGGTCAGGGTGGCTTTGGACTCATCTATCTAGGTAGAGAGCACACACATGCACTCACTCACTCATACACACACACACACACACACACACACACACACACACACACACACACACACACACACACACACACACACACACACACACACACAGGGAAACAGTCAGATTTATGTACTTATTTTTGTCAGACTTTTGCTTTGCAGCCTTTAAGTGTTTTGTACTTTAATGGTGACACATCTAAACATTGTTTTCTGCATTTTTATCTTGTTGCTTTATGTTGTTTGTGAAGCCTCCCAGGAAGTAGACAGAGCCGTTGCAGAGGACTCAGACTATGTCATAAAGGTGGTGCGTATCTATCAATGTTGATGAGTGGGGGGAGGGGGGGCAGCCAGGTTGGCCCTGAACTAGTCTGCTGTGAAGCTGTTGCTAAGCCAGAAGTCAAAACGCCTTTACTGAGCTGTATACCTCCCAGCCCTCACCACCGTAGAGAGGAGCCGGCTGAGGTGGTCGGGCCTATGATGAGAATGTCCCCTGGAGGGGAAGGGGAGGTTTGGGAGCTGAATCTCTCAGGGTGGGCTGGTAGAACATTTGAACTGACTGACTCTGTGTTCAGGAGTACCAGGAGAACGGACCCTTGTTCTCAGAGCTGAAGTTCTACCAGCGAGCAGCCAAAGCAGGCAGCAGTGAGTAGAACAACCTGTCCTGGTCCCAGCAGCTCACTGGAGTTCTTTTACTGATAAAGTCTCACACACACACGCACACACACACGCACGCACACACACACACACAAAGGTTTGGCTACACAGTAATTAATAATATATTAAGGCAAACACACACCTCTGAGGTGGTCGCAGCTCCTCTCCTTGCCTGTCTGAGCTCTCCAACATCTCAGTTTGGAAAGGAGTGAGGATGGGGGAGAGCACTCACCTGTAATGATGCCTGGGCCACCTCTGGGCCCCTGACCACCTGCCAGCCTGTTGGGGAGCCAGTGGAAAGAAACGTTCACACTTTATTGGGTTTGCTGTCTATACTTATGTGTGTGTGTTGGACGGATTCACATAACAACATAACCAGCAGCAGGACTAGGTGTGTTGGTGGACCTGTGTGGTCCAGGTTCCAGGATGATTCTTTTCATTTTTCCTCTGTGTTTTTCTCCAGTTCAGAAATGGAAGAGAGACAGGGGACTGGACTTCCTGGGCATCCCGACATACTGGGGGTCCGGACTTGCTGAGCACCAGAACCTCAGGTATCGAGTCCCGTCACGTTAATAAGACACGTATAGTTTCAACTATGTTCCCAGGGTAGAAAGAACAATCAAATCTAAATCCTCCTGTACTTACCAAGGTACCGCTTCATGGCCATGGACCGTCTGGGCAGCGACCTGCAGAAGATCTGTGAGAGCGGCGGAGGCCGACTGAAGAAAGCCACGGTGCTCCAGCTTGGTCAGAGACTGGTGAGAAGGTCCTCTACTGAATGTGTGTGTGTGTGTGTGTGTGTTGGAGCTAACAGGGCTGGTGTCCTGTCTCTGGGTGTTTCTGTTCCAGGTGGATGTTCTGGAGTATATTCATGATAACGAGTATGTTCACGCAGACATTAAGGCAGCCAATGTCATGCTGGGTTACAGAGACCCTGACCAGGTCAGTTCTGCTCTGATTACCACCACTCCCATCCACACATCTCATTCATGTCACACAGGACAGGTGGGGCTTGTCTTTCTGTTCTCCATAACTCCAATGAGAATGAAGCCAGGCGTACACCGCGTGACTTTCTCACTCGTAGCATTCAGCTCCCTCTCAAACGGTACGCCGTCCTCGAGTCACGTCCCCACGCCGTACGTGTAGTAGCAGCACGTCGGCCTCCCAAAACCCAGAAGACCCGGAGACTGTCTGTTGCCCTTCAGACTGCAGGAGGAAATGCAGGGCTTTATTGTGACTGGGGGAAGACAAACAAAACAAGTAAACAATGTTTTGGCATCAGTTTTTTGAAATAAACGTGTGTGTGTGTGTGTGTGTGTGTGTGTGTGTGTTCTTGTACTTCCTACCTACTGAGAAACATTGTGAGTTCTTAACCAACAGAGTGAGGACATTTTGTTTCCTCACTCTTTAAAACCAGTTGGTACGATGAGATGTAAGTTGTAGTTAGAGTTTTTTACAGATACGTGTGTGTGTGTGTGTGTAAAAAAAAAAAAAGGGAGGGAAGCAACGTGTGTTGACACAAATACCCATAGAGCCAGGTTGGCAGGTGTCGTGTGTGAGTGGTTCTGGTACTTTTGAGTCACAACACTGATACCCTCATGAGAGTCGAGCAAAATATCAAACATGTTTGATATTCGTGCGACAGAAGCTGGTTGTGAGGTGTTAAAGATGTGGTTCTCTGATGAACCATTTTTGATTATCTCTGATTCTAACGGGTCACTCTGAGTGTTTCATGCAGGCTGAACATGAAAATAGTCTCCTACACCTATCTCCTGCAATAGTTTCTGATAGAAAACAGACGGTGAAACTCTAGGATTAGAAAATCCTGACAGATCTATGTCACACTGTCACTAACATTCATGGACCCACCCATCTGGACTCACGATGGGGAAGGCTGTTGTTGGTTTCACGTCCAGGAAACAGCAAAGAACGTCTCGGCTAGTAGAAGCTAACCATTAGCATTGGCATCTCCACCACACTGCAGAACTCCTCGAGGCTTGTGTTATTTGTGGAGGTAAAACATCAACATTGCAGATCAAACAGTCAGTGGTAGAGTTGTGTTGCTGATAGCCAATCAGAGGAGAGATGTCCACGTATCAGGAAATAAGACTTCTGATAAGTGTGTCTGACCCCCCCTGTACCCAAGTATTGGAGCTGTAAAAGTAAACTAACAGGAAGTAAACTGTGTTTTCAGGTGTACCTGGCAGACTACGGGCTGTCCTACAGGTACTGCCCTGATGGGGTCCACAAAGAATACAAGGAAAACCCTAAGAAGGGCCACAATGGAACCATGGAGTACACCAGCCTGGATGCCCACAAAGGACTTGGTAGGTCCTCCATGTCTTCACCTAATGACCCCAAACAGCTGCAGGAACCACGGCCCGCAGCTGTCCAGGTGATCAGCAGAATTTGCCTTCAGCCCTCCGTTGCAGGAGTCGTTGGTGCACGCTGATGACACCCCATCATGAAACCTGCCTGGGTCACCCATAGTTCCATCTTTGCTGTAACGGAGCCAAAGTCTAGCTCTTTATATATATATATATATATATATATATATATATATATATATATATATATATATATAATCAAATAAGAGAATACAATCCAAATACAATCCACCAATACAAAACAAATCCAGAAATAAAAGAGTCACTAGGCGACAGCCAAGTCATAAAAGATATTTAAATAAACGAGATTTAAAAAGCGTGACAGAGCATGTCTGTCCCGCCCAGCCCGTGACTTATACGGCGAGTGCACAGCAGCAGCTGGTCAGGACAAAGCTGTAGCAGTTCCTAGTCTTCCAGACTAGATGTGTTCAGTGGGACAAGTCATCGGTCTCTGTCTTTTTGGTGGGCCATCCTCCTTCGTCTCCCACAGCCAGTTATCCTACACCTGCTGCGATGATTGTTGTGTGTGTGTTTGTGTGCGTGCGTGTGTGTGTGTGTGTGTGTTTGTGTGTGTGTGTGTGTGAAACGGTCTCGCTTCCACTTCACCCTCCATCAGCTGATATTGGAACACATTACCTGGCAAATTGCCTACACGCTCGCTTTCTTCATTGACCATTGATTTCCCTGTCCACGCCCCCCCGCTGAAATCCCGGCACCGTCTCTGTTTAACAATTCTCTAATTAGCTGAAGTCATAACCTGCATCTTGTATTCATCCCCCATTAATTAAGGGCTTTGATGTATGGGTAGAGTGGGGGCTGAGCCTCAGATAACCTCCATGCGTTTACAAAGCCGGTGGTTCGATACTGACAGTCGGTACAACTCAAAACTACCCAACGGCCACGCCAGAGGTTCCATCAATGTGATCAATCAGAAAAAGGTAGAAAAAGACGACCTGTTGGTCGCAGCAGCCAAACAGAAAGCTCCTCGGTTTTAAACAGGAGCAGCAGAGAAAAACCTCATCTCAGATTCATCACGACCAAAAATGAAAAGCCTCTATTCTCCAGCAGAATGCTCTGACTTAGAGATGCACCGGTACCGGTAGGGGTGCATCTCTAAATCTGACTGGAGCCACGACAGTGCTGAACAGCAGCAGCAATGGTGATCAGTGCTAAAACACACCGTTTATCAACACTTAGCCTTCAAAAACCACCAACTTCCCTTCCTAACATAGTCGTCGTTACTTCCTGCAGGCTAGAGCACGTCACACGTTCTTGTCCAAGGACCAGACCCCCGTGGCATCCTTCTCCACCGGGATGCTGCCAGGTTGCCATGGTGAGGGTTGGTGAGCGCAGCAGTTCTGTGTACGCGGAGCTAAACGGTCTAATTACCAGCATTTGGTGGGCGGACAGCAGACTGATGACCGTCTTTAAACAACAGATCTGTGAGGCAGAGGGGTTAAGAGGGCGCCACCGCGCCGCGCCAATAACAATAGAGCCTAATCAGCAGCTGCTGTCACCTCCCAGTCTGAACCCGTTCATCCAGTTCCTGCACACACACACACACACACACACACACTTGATCAGACACACGCATGATCATACAAACGTTTAAGGGTATTTTGTCATTGTGTGGACCAGCCAGATGTCCCCACAACGTGGACATGTCCACACACTACAGGTTAAAGTCAAAATGTGTCCACTTAAGTAAAAAAAGGCAAGTACACACACACACACACACACACACACACACACACACACACACACACACACACACACACACACACACACTGGGATTTGGACCATGTTTCTGTTTCTGTTTAGTGAATCAGGAACTACAGGATCACTTCCTGTAGTGTTCCACACAACCACATCTCACTGTGAGGCCAGAGATGGGCGTAAGTAGCAGACTAGCATGAACACGTTCTTACAGGTGATTTTGGACCAGACCTGGTCAGAGACATGTCCCGTCCTCTCAGCAGAGGAGACTGGGTGTCCTAAACTTGAATCCAAACTGATACTAAAATGAAAATGTGTGAGTTTGGAATGACCAGCTGTTCCTCTGCACTATTTCCTCCGTGTTGAACTTTGCAACTTACTGTGTCTAAACCTACTTTCCTGAGACGGTCAGGATGTAATCAGATTATGGCCTTGGTAATCTAGCCCAGTGTGCTCAGCATCACGCTCTGCCTTTGGTTCCTGGCTGACAGGATCAATGAGAATGCGGCTGACAGAGATTTGTCCCTTCTGGTGGAGGCAGTCGATAGCTCATCTCTCCTGAGATGTATGGCAGACTCCCCAGGCCGGAGCTCACCGGTGGACTTGGGTATCGACAGACCACACGTGATGTAGATGTAAACCCTCTGGGTTATTCAGAGCTCATTTGGACTTTCTGTTCTAATCAGTCAGTCAGTTCCTTATTTTTCTGAGCTGTTTGGTTTAAAGTCTGGGATCAGCTGAGCCGTCGGTGGAGCATTTATATGAGAACCAAACTAGAGACAATGAGCTCCACTCTTTAGCTCTGCAGGTCTGAAAACACTTACAAACCACATCCTAACCCTAACCCTCATCAGCAAACACCTATATGGGTCATCAGTCCTAGCGTGGAAGCGAACATGGAAGAGCAGTGGCTCTACTCTGAGCTCCTCCCCCATCACATTAACCAAATCTCATGATCGGAGGTGAGGATTGGGAAGAAGAATGACAGTAACAATAAGAGCGCTGCCTTTTGGCTTGGCTCCCTCAACTCAAAAGACCAGTTCTCCTCTACATAAGGTGGGACCTCCCAGACCCAGGGTTTGAAGTCCACCCTTTTTGGGTGGAGAAACAGCCCTTGGACTTGGAGATGTTGATGCTCATCTCGGCTGCAGCAGGAGCGGTTTTCATAGTTCGATGGAGCTAAAGCCTAATGTCTATGTCTACGTCTGCGTCGGGGCGGAGACACGCAACACCATTATCCTTCCTTTCGAGCGCAGATTCGAGCTCTCTTTTCTAAACATCCGTCCGTCGAAACGGAGAACACACGCTTTTGATTGGTCAAGGCACCGCTGTCGTCTACACTGCCACCATTGCGCCCTCAAAAACATAAAGAGAGCCGAGGATATCTAGCGGCAGACACGGAGCAGCTTGAAGAATACCTCGTTTTATTCATCCGTGACTGGAGGAGTGAAAAGATGCGCAGCAAGCATTTTATTTGTGGAGGAAAACGACGGGAAACATTGGTTTAGAGGTGGCGAGTGCATGAAGAGTGTCATTTATTTGCTTTGTATTTTACTAATTCATTTGGAGCTGACTGTTTTACTTTATGACCCACATTCTAGAACGTTTTCCTTTTCTTTGAGCAAAAATGCTAGAACATGTATTCACAAAATTTGAGTAGCAGGAAGCATGAAGTGCGCTAAAACTTTCTGGTAGACAGCTGCGTTGACCTTGGACCTCAGAAAACACAACGGACCATCGCCAGAAGATGACATGGCACCCCAAACCATCACTGACTGTGGAAACTTTACACTGGACCTCAAGCAACGTGGATTCTGTGCCTCTCCTCTCTTTCTCCAGACTCTGGGACCTTGATCTGCTAAGGAAATCCAAACTTTACTTTCATCAGAGAACATATAACTCTTGACCACATAGCGGCAGTCCAGCCTTTAGCCCAGGTGAGACACTTCTGACCCCGTCTCTTTTTTTAAGAGTGACACAAGGAACCCCATGCCTTGCACACGTCTGTGTGTGGTGGTTCTTGAAGCAATGACTCTAGCTGCAGTCCGCTCTTTGTGAATCTCCCCCACATCTTTGAATGGGATTTGTTTCACTCCTCTCCAGGGTACGGTTATCCCTATCGCTTCTACACTTTTTTTCTACCACATCTTGACCTTCCCTTCACCTCTCTATTAATGTGCTTGGACACTGAGCTCTGTGAACAGCCAGCATCTTTAGCAATGACCTTTTGTGTTTTGCCCTTTTTGTTGCATTGGTCTTAATTGATATTCTAATATCCAGAGATACAGAATTCAGGACTTTCATTAGTTGTCAACTATAATCATCAACATTAAAGAGCAAGTCACCCCCAAATCAACAATTTTTTTCTGATAAACTATATAAATGCGTGTCTAATCGTGCTGCAGACACGTGTAGTCAATAGTTTTGCACTTTAGTGCATTTTAGTTAAAATTTAAATTTTCTGCCTGAAACTGTCAGTGTTGTGCCGTTGTCGGGTAAAAACTCTTCACTGCATTTGAATTTAAATCTGCCACCGCTATTGGCTAAAGCCGGGCGTACACTGTGCGACTTTTTCACTTTTTTGAGCCGATTTTCCAGTCGTGCGAGAAGCCACGACATCGGGGCGAGTTTTGCGCCGAGCGGTCGTGTAGTGTACAGGGGGTTACGAGAGGCGATTAACACCACGTGACCAGCCGCCGATCAGCAGTCGTGAGGTCGCAGGGACTTCTGGTGTGTTTAATATTTCGCTCGTCCCTCGTGAGGGTATCGCACTGTTGAAGCGGCGCTGCGAGCAGCTACGATCCAAAAAGTATCAGAACCGCTCACGGCGCATGCGCGCGCAATCCTGCATCAACGCCGGCCGGTCGCTCGCTATTTCCCTAATAACACACGCTGTTCGTTTTTGTTTCTACACGTTTTTTTACTCACAAAGATTGTCAAGAAAGCGTGTTTGTCGTGTTCATGTCAAATTAAACTGATCATAAAACACAGATTCACTTTCTTTATTTCGTTTTCCTCATCCAACCCCCATAAATCCCTGTGTGTCCTCCTGCAGCACTCCCGAAGGACAACAGGCAAGACAAAAAAGTCTGACGTGTTGTGTAAAAACTGCTATTTTTAGCACATTTTAGGGCCGACGTGTTGCTACCAGACGTACAGTGTGAGCAGTCAGGTCGCATGCGAGAACTGGGGGGTACAGTGTGAGCACACGACTCGTGAGATCTGCTCTGCGAGGAAGTCGTACAGTTTGAGCTGAAGCTGAACGCTGCGAGTGAAAAAGTCGCACAGTGTACGCCCGGCTTAAGAGGTATGCTATGATGTAAACTGGTACATTATGATGTCACAATGTTGTGTGTGTATTTGTTAGTGGCTCCACCCTCTCGGTCTGCTAGGCAACAGGATTTGTTGCATTTTTCAAACATGAAGTGGGAGTGAAGTACGCTTGTTGTAAGAGGTGACTTGCTCTTTAAAATAAACATATCAGTCTGTGTGTAATGAATGAATCTAATATACAAGCTTCACTTTTTGAATGGAATTACTAAAACAAATCAACTTTGTCCTGATATTTTTATTTTATGGGCAGCGCCTGTTTACTGGAAATGAAGAACTATGAACTGGTTCGTTTTTGGAACAGTGAACAAAACTTTATGAATTATGAACTAAAAAAGGAACTAGTATAAACTGAACTTTGAAATAGTTCATTTATAAAACAAACTTTCCCACCAGTGGTGAACATCAGTGTTGAGACCGTAAAATATCCAACCCTACGGTAAAATATCCAACCCTACGGCACTTGTCCACCTGTTACAGGTCCATCAAGACGCAGTGACCTCCAGATTCTGGGCTTCTGCCTTCTTCACTGGTTATGTGGTTCTCTACCGTGGGATGGAGTCCTGAAGCATCCCGCTCAGGTCCAGGAGGCTAAAGCTCGGTAGGTGGACATGTGAAATGCTTCTGTAGAGCTATAGTCATAGGTTCCTTAAGCCTACATCAGTAACTCTAGATGGTTTCAGACTCAGCTCCATTACTACCCTTCTGTAGTTAAGTGGTAGACCTCTGGTCCTTTCTCCTATTGCTTCTAAGCCCGTCTCAGTGTACTCACCCTTCCTGTTCTCAGACTGATGGATAATCTGCCAGACTCGGTTCTGGAGCTGTCTGTGGACGGTGCTGTCACAGGTAAGTTGAGGCTGCTGGCCTTCTCTGGGTTTCTAAACATAATTTTTAGTTTAATGGAGACTTTGGATGCAGGGCAGGATGTTTGTAGAGACGAAGAGTACAAAAGTGTCCAATTAGCTGTAGCGTGTAGCTCCTGGGACACTGCACAGTTGAGGTACCGTAGACTCGGCTGGACAGACCCAGAAGACCAAGGTGCTGTTTGACTCAGCTGCAGGTTGTTGTCACCTAGCAACAGTTTGATAAAGGTAAAGGTGGAATAGATGTTTTCTTGTGCTTCAAACAAGCAATTTTATGAAAACACACAATTCAAAGGTCCCTGTAGTTGGTTGCTAACCCAACTCACCTACGTAACCATACAGGTGCTGGCCAGTAAATTAGAATATCATCAAAAGGTTGAAAATATTTCAGTAATTCCATTCAAAACGTGAAACTTGTACATTATATTCATGCAATGCACACAGACCAATGTATTTCCGATGTTTATTACGTTTAATTTCGATATTTATAGGTGACAACCAATGAAAACATCAAATCTGGTATCTCAGAAAATTAGAATATTCTAAAGGCCAATGAAAAAATGTTTGTTTCTCTAATGTTGGCCAACTGAAAAGAATGAACATGAAAAGAATGTGCATGTATAGCACTCAATACTTAGTCGGGGCTCCTTTTGCCTCAATAACTGCAGTAATGCGGCGTGGCATGGACTCGATCAGTCTGTGGCACTGCTCAGGTGTTATGAGAGCCCAGGTTGCTCTGATAGTCGTCTTCAGCTCCTCTGCATTGTTGGGTCTAGCGTATTGCATCCTCCGCTTCACAATACCCCATAGATTTTCTATGGGGTTAAGGTCAGGCGAGTTTGCTGGCCAATCAAGGACAGGGATACCATGGTCCTTGAACCAGGTGCTGGTGGTTTTGGCACAGTGTGCAGGTGCCAAGTCCTGTTGAAAGGTGAAGTCTGCATCCCCATAAAGTTGGTCAGCAGCAGGAAGCATGAAGTGCTCTAAAACCTCCTGGTAGACGGCTGCATTGACCCTGGACCTCAGGAAACAGAGTGGGCCAACACCGGCAGATGACATGGCACCCCACACCATCACTGACGGTGGAAACTTTACACTGGACCTCATGCAACGTGGATTCTGTGCTTCTCCGCTCTTCCTCCAGACTCTGGGTCCTTGATTTCCAAAGGAAATGCAGAACTTGCTTTCATCAGAAAACATAACTTTGGACCACTCAGCATCAGTCCAGTCCTTTTTGTCCTTGGCCCAGGCGAGACGCTTCTTGCGCTGTTTCTTGTTCAAGAGTGGCTTGACACACGGAATGCGACACCTGAATCCCATGTCTTCCATGAGTCTCCTCGTGGTGGTTCTTGAAGCGCTGACTCCAGCTGCAGTCCACTCTTTGTGGATCTCCCCCACATTTTTGAATGGGTTTGTCGTCACAATTCTCTGCAGGGTGCGGTTATCCCTAGAGCTTGTACACTTTTTTCTACCACATTTTTTCCGTCCCTTCGCCTGTCTGTTAATGTGCTTGGACACAGAGCTCTGCGAACAGCCAGCTTCTTTAGCAATCACCTTTTGTGTCTTGCCCTCCTTGTGCAAGGTGTCAATGATTGTCTTTTGGACAGCTGTTAAGTCAGAAGTCTTCCCCATGATTGTGGTGCCTTCAAAACAAGACTGAGGGACCTTTTAAAGGCCTTTGCAGGTGTTTTGAGTAAATCAGCTGATTAGAGTGGCAGCAGGTGTCTTCTATATTCAGGCCTTTTCAGAATATTCTAATTTTTTGAGATACCAAATTTGGAGTTTTCATTAGTTGTCACTTATGAATATCGAATTTAAATGTAATGAACATTGGAAATACATTGGTCTGTGTGCATTGCATGAATATAATGTACAAGTTTCACGTTTTGAATGGAATTACTGAAATATTTTCAACCTTTTGATGATATTCTAATTTACTGGCCAGCACCTGTATAACCACATGGTGCGCTAGCTAAGAGTGGTGAAAAACTAGGTTGGTCCTTAACTTTACAATCACAGCAGCTCAGTCTGGAGAAAGCCCACAACAACAGATCCAGAACCCGGCCCACCCTCCTCCCACTCACACAGGTATCCAGTCAGTTCTCATTTGGGTATTCTTGAGGACTAAACAGCTCTGAAGGAGTCTGAAGACCAGATCTGCAGGATTGTCCAGAACCTTTTCAGGTACCTCGGGTTCTGGACCAGCTTGTCCCACTGGCAGGCTTCTGTTGTTCTCTTCATAAGGAGAGGTCTCACCTGTGTGTTGTACCAGAGCTCCCAAAAAACCCAGCTGCTCACCTTAGATAAGAGCTGCAGGATGTGTGTGTGTGTGTGTGTGACACCAACACAGAGCTGTAACAGCAGATCACACACAGAGGGTCTTATCAGCACCACGAGACCTTCAGGCCTCTGAGCTCCAGCCCGACTCAAACACCATCACCATCAGAACGTTTGATAGCACATGACAGGTTATTGTATTATAAACGACTTCTGAGTGGATCCGGCCTTTTTGGCTGTTTCCAGACGAGGTGGCCTTGTTCCTGCTTCATGTGAAAACTCTGGACTACCAAGATAAACCAGACTACCAGCTTCTGAAAGCCCTGCTGACCAAAGGGGTCACAGGAAGGCTGGACTTCTCTGTCCCAGCAGGGTCGGCCGGCAGGAACCCTCGCAGTAGGGACAAGGTGAGCACATGACGAGAGATGATTGGCTGAAGGTCAGACCACCTCCAGATCTGCTCACAGAGTGGTTGCATCCTGTCCACAGAAGGCAGAACCAGCCAGAACCAGACCAGAGCCTGTTGAGGTGGACTACGAAGACCCCGATAGGAGGAAGACCAAAGCAGTGCCAGCTCGCTATATCAGAGGCCCCCCCCTCAGGAACGACCACCCACAGCAGGTAAGGTCCATCGTGCCCCGCCCCCTTAAAAACCTGTTTGCTGGTGTGAGGTCCAAACTATCTGGTTCTGGTCTCTAAATGGGCTCATCTGGGTCCTGAACCATGTCGTGTTCATGCTGAGGAGGAGCAACTAAGCGGAGTTCTGTTCTGTGTCAGCAGGACCCGGTTCCACCTGCTGTCAGACGGACCCTGAAGCAGAGGTCCAGAGGGGCCCATGAGGACGAGGGCAGTGAGGAGGAGGCGGAGGCCAGGCCTAAAGCTATCCCTGCTTGTTACCTGAGAGGTCCCCCAGTCAGCCGGGGCGCTCGACCCAAACAGGTGTAAGTCCAAACGGGTCTTGGCGGTTCCTTTGGGATGAACAAGAACCATGTTTATGGACCACCTCTCTCACACACACACACACTAAAGCTTTCTCTGAGTTTTATTAGAATGCACACTTGAATTTTAACAGAGAACTAAACCCAAACCCGACAGGCCGACTGCAGGGAGACCAGAGAAGCCACCCACATGGAACCAGAGACACAGAACTTGCTTCTCTCACACGGAGCAGCCAGAGCTCGGGGACGGAGGACCAGTCCCTGTTGGAGTAGGCCACGGTCAGATCTTTAGGGAAGACGGAGATGGTTCCGTTCCTGATCTGACACACTCACAGAGGTCCTGGTTCTTCTACGTTTGGGTCGGCCTTCTTCTGGGTGTGGTTTTAGAATGTGCCAAAGTGCTTCTGGACCGGTTTGACGACTTCAGCAGCTGATCGGCATGTTAGAGGTTCTGTGGGTTCTGGGAACACGGGCCTCCTCTCACACTGCCTGGGTCACCATCTTCACTGTGATGGGCTGAAACAGAAGGACCGGGTTCAGCTGTGTGTGTGTGTGAGCGTGCATGTGTGTGTGTGAACACACACCTTGCTGCAGTAGGGACACTCTCCAAACATCAGGCTGAAGCTCTTCCTGCTGGAGGGTAGCACTCGGAGCCACTGAAGAAGAGAAGATTAGGGTTCTGGTGAGCCCAGATGTTTCTACAGCATGTTCTGAGGGTGGACCGTGTGTGCAGAGCAGAAACCACCCAGACCCAGAACTTGGTCCATCACAACCTCAGCTTCTCAGCACATTTACACACAAACAGCTGGACCATGAAATCCCATCAGCTGGTGAGGTCCAGCTGAGAGGAGCTCAGACCCGCTGTGATGAGTGACCACAATAATACTAGTACTATAGTACAGATATACTATAGTACTAGCATCTGTGCTCTCCTGATTGCTTGTGCATCTGACCTCTAACCACATCATCATTTGCCTTTGGAGAGTTTTGACCTTTGATGTTGAGACATTTCTATGCAGCTCATTTTACCAATGTGAAACAGAATTTAGTACAAATTAAAATAAATTTTGAAATGTAAAAATCCATGAGGACATTTAGACCCTTTTCATGAAAAGTTTGGACATCCCTGATTCATCACCACGGAGAGTGTGACATCAGAGCTGTTTAGGATCAGAATCAGACACTAAACACATCTGTTACCCGAAAGAAGGATGCTGCTATAAAAGCAGAGAAGAGCCTGGAGGGCCCGACAGGTAGGTGTGTGTGTGTGTGTGTGTGTGTGTGTGTGTGTGTGTGTGTGTGTGTGTGTGTGTGTGTGTGTGTGTGTGTGTGTGTGTGTGTGTGTGTGTGTGTGTGTGTGTGTGTGTGTGTGTGTGTGTGTGTGTGTGTGTGTGTGTGTGTACCTCATAGAGGCAGGCCTGGTGGAAGGGCTGGCCACAGCGGGGGTCATTGCACACTTGATCTGGGATGGCGGTCCCAAGCCGATATGAGTAACAGATGCCACACTCAATGCTGAAACTCTACACACACACACACACACACACACACACTGACCCTGGATGAGTACTACCGAAGTCTTTTCACATGGTCACATTTAATGTGATTCCTCCCAGCCACAGACATTTCCTGTTTTAGACGTAAGTTGTTCCGCTGTCACCGGCACATACGGTTACCGCTAGCCTGTTCAAACAGCGGCCGCATAGTGACTCTGATTGGTTATTGTCTTGTCTAGTGCCGCCTCTCACAATTGCTGAGTTTTTTTCCATTAGCCTATCTTTTCCAACTTCTGTTTGGATTTTCATTAATGTCAATTATCTTTGTCGCCTTTTATTTAGTAACAGAAAAAAAATCCTAGAAACGGCGAAGCCACGAACGGTAAAGCTGGGGACTATGTTTGGCACATTTGAGGTGCCATTTTTCATTAAACACAATTTATTTTTATGAGTCGTTCCTTCAACCCGGGAAAATGAGAAGCTTGGATCCGAGGACCCTCCCGAGATCCACTGGTTATGTATTTATATCAATAGAAACATTACTGGGTCATTTTGTCTTGTTGGAGAACATTTGGTACAAATCTGGAGGTATCGTCCAGCCCTAGCGCCGGTGACCGGCCTCTGGGTCCATCTGAAAGGGTTGTTTTGCCTGCAGCATCCAGACACGGTAAAAACAACATCTGGTCTGAACAAGTTTTTAGTTCTGCTCTGAATGTTGATGATGCTAAAGCATTAATCACCATGGCAACAGCAGATAAACATAACGCCCTCTTAACCCATCTGCAGTGAGGGAGAAACGTTCGAGTTAAAAACACATAAATGGTTTCATGTGATTAAAGCAGGATGAGGAGACGGGACTCAGACAGTTATTATTCTAATGCACGCACGCACGCACGCACACACACACACACACACACACACACACACACACTCGCACACATACACACACACACACGCACACACACACACACACACACACACACACACATACAGTCACACGCACACACACACATTCACTCACACACACACGCACACACACACACACCGTCACACACACACACACACTCAGTCACTCGCACACACACACACACACACTCAGTCACTCACACACACACGCACACACACACACACCGTCACACACACACACACACTCAGTCACTCGCACACACACACACACACACACACACACACACAGTCACACACACCGTCACTCGCGCACACACACACACACACACACACACACACACACACACACACACACACACACACACACACACACACACACACTCTCCTGATAGGAGCGTACGTTGGTCAGACCGAGAGTGAAACTGCCACCTACAGATTTTTCGTGGGAGGTTGGCGACGGGAATTCAATTTCCAGAACATCCTGAAGGTTGGTGAAGACACTGGAGTCAGGGTTCCTGCCAGCAGACCACACACACACACACACACACACACACACACACACACACACACACACACACACACACACACACACACACACACACACACACACACACACACACACACACACACACACACACACACACACACACACACACACGTATAAATGCCTGCAGATATACTAGCTGACACTTTGAACTCATTTAGAAACAGAACTTGTGTTTCTGCTGAACGAGGCAGGAGGAATGTTCTGCTGTTAAAATCCTGTAGCACCGGATGGTTCTGATGGATGTAGTTCCAACAGGAGGGTTTAGGACTACTTCTGTAAAAACAAACTCAGAAGCATCAGGGTTTCCACAGAGTGTCCCATCATGATGTCTAGTTAAACCTCTCCCTGTATCGTCTCTCTGTGGAGAACCACTGAGACATAACCCTAACCCTAAGGGGAAAATGGAGGATTTTAGGACCAGGAAGAGAAACTCATCAGCTGCTTTAAAGGTGTGGTTCACTATAATAATTGTCTCTGGTTATAAAGGGTCACTCTGAGTTTCACATGCAGGCTGAACATGAAAATAGTCTCCTACACCTATCTCCTGCTTTAGCTTCTTATAGAAAACAGACGGTGAAACTCTAGGATTAGAAAAGCCTGACAGATCTCCGTCACACTGTCACTTACATTCATGGACTCACCCATTTTGACACACAAGGAAGGCTGTTGTTGGCTTAGCAGCCAGGAAACAGCAGAGAACGTCTCGGCTAGTAGAAGCTAACTAATAGCATTAGCAACTCCATCACACAGCAGCACTTCTCCAGACTTCTCTTATTTGTGGAGGTAAAACATCCACGTTGCAGAGTAAACAGAGTCAGTGGTAGAGTTGTGTAGCTTTTAGCCAATCAGAGGAGAGATACCAAATATAGCATGGCAAGCCATTCTACATGTTACGACTTTTACGGTCTGGGGATGGGATATAAAGCTGTCATCTCCCTTCCTCAAGGCTCTACCTGCAGGAGACTGCCCCTCCTCCTCCTCGTGTTTGCACACCTGGGCCCAATCAGCTCATCAGCAGCAGAAATGACGAGCTGCCAGGCTCAGATGGTGAAAGAGACGGAATCCATGCCATGGCTTTGTGTTTGCTCCATTGTTGTTTTAAAGGTTTTTAGTCAGGCTGTTTTTAATGGGTAACCCCGGCTTTCCACCGCCTGCGAAAGCAGTCGCATAACATCATAACGGAGTTCTACCCGCGAGCTCATTCCCAATAGGGACAATTCTTACACGAAATGGGAGTGAAAGCGTTCCACACAGCTGATTCCATAACGTTACAAAATCACGGGAGAATTACAACACCACACGTGATTTCAGACGTTCACACACAATAATAAGCATGGAGAAAGACAGCTGCATGCATGAAAAAATGCCCGTGGGGTATTTTCTGTTCTGTTTACATCGGTCACAGAAGTTCACAGGGAACGTGACCTTTATTTTGAAAGTTTCAGGATGTTCTACATTGCTTTAGTGTTCAACTCTGTCTGGCTCGATCTAAACTGCAGAGATTGACGTGTTTTAGAAGCGTAGCGCGTCAAAAATAGACTCGAAACGTAATGAAAGCTTGCCCTCGCTTCTGGGGGGCATCCAAAACTTCACTCTTAACTGCCGGTGGAAATGAACTCATCCACTATAATGGCAGCTAATCACCGCGTTTACGTTTGGCGACATTCTGATGCGCAGTGGAAAGGAGGGGTAAAAGCCAGAGTGCTTTACATTTGAAAACAGGCGAGAAACCAGAGTGCTGGTTATGTGTGGGAGCATTTTAGATGTGTGTTTTAATTGGGAATCCCCATTTTAAACATGTCACCACTAGCCTTTTTAACACTATTTTAACCTTTTAGAAATGGAGCTTTGTGTTTAAAATCCTCATTTATAATAAAACTGTGTTTTAATTTGACCATCCTGCCCACGCCTGTTTGTGTTACGCCCTTGTTCTTCATTTTAGCACCAACACCTGGTCGTAACACTAAACATGTGCATACAGACCGGCCAACCTTGTCAAAACTTTTTGAGTACCACATTCGCGGCGTTTTTTCGCAGACTTTTGCTACTCCGTTGCATTCCACGCTATAACGTCCCCATTCACTGGCTGGAAACAACTTTTTGAAGAGTCCAAAGTTTCGTGTATTTTAATATTAAACAGTAAAAGTCAATAGTTGCATTTGCTTACCTCATAGAATATGTGTGCCTATACAAACTGATAGCAACAAGCTACTTGCGTAGAATTATTTAAACACCTAATTAATCAAAAATAATTTAAAAATATTTCAATCTGTATTAATTGATAATGATTTGTTTTGTGTATTGCAACAGGTGGCTCTGTTTTCAAGAATGTAATATTAAACTGGCTTAAAGCACATGTGCACACACCACTGGGTCTAATTTATAGATTACCTGCAGCTCCCTGGTGACTCATGTTTACGTCATAATGGCATGTTGTGCAAAATGCATGGTGAGGTCGTTTAGAGGGTCGCAAGCATGGCCACAATTTTTAAATTAGAGTTTTTTTCTCATGAATTTGGCAAATAGTTATATTTATTCATTCTGCTTGTTTCATTTTATTTATTTATTTATTAATTTATTGTTTGTTTTGTACAAACCCAAATTGGTCCCCTTTCTAGTTTCTAAATCCAGCTAATTTTTCCACTTCCTGAATCTTTAATCTGCTCTAATTATAAAATATTTTATTCCATGGGTGACCGATATAAACGTAGCTACTATTTATAAACATGTAGCACTGAAAACACATGTTGCAGACATGATAATCCAAACTCACAATACATCACTGGAGAAAGTTGCCTTCTTTGGAGTTTCACTGATTTACTAAAGGTTTCACATTTTACCAGCTGTCTGTTATGGGTTTTGCTGTTAATGTAGAATAATCTAGTCCAGATTTGAAGAAGTGTTGTAGTTTAGAGGTGGACCAGCTCTACGGTGTACCAGATTAAATTCAATTCAATTCAAGTTTATTTATATAGCGCCAAATCACGACAAGAGTCGTCTCAAGGCACTTCACATAATAAACATTCCAATACAGGTCAGTGCATTAAGCCAATGAGAAAAAAGTTTCCTATATAAGGAACCCAGCAGGTTGCATCAAGTCACTGACTTTACAGCAATCCTCATACTAAGCAAGCATATAGCGACAATGGAGAGGAAAACTCCCTTTTAACATGAAGAAACCTCCAGAGAATCCTGGCTCAGTATAAGCAGCCATCCTCCACGACTCACTGGGGATCGAGAAGACAGGCGCGCACGCACGCACGCACGCACGCACGCACGCACGCACGCACGCACGCACACACGCACACACACACACACACACACACACACACACACACACACACACACACACACACACACACACACACACACACACACACACACACACACACACCAGATCTAAACTGGACCAGATCTAAGGTCGACCAGATCTAAGCTGGACCAGATGAAACTGTAACAAATCAAATTAAAGCTGCAAACAGCGTTGTTCGGCCCTCGCAACTCTGTGCCGCTCCAGCCTGGCTGGCAGCCTGGGGCACCCAGGCATGTCCGTGGAACAGAAACGTCGACCCCCGCGACCCCAGACACCTCGTACGCACCTCACCCTGACTCAGCATCTCCTCTGAGCCCACCATTAAATTATACATCTCACCACTAGGGGATACTCCATCTTTCCCACACTGTATGTGTGATGACACAGACCAAGTTTAATGCTATTCTGACCACGTTTATTGAAATTATTGAACGTTAAAGTTATCTAGGGGGCGCTGTGACCAACTACAGAAAAATCCCATTGAGGTCAGCTTTGGTAGACAAAGATGGTTTTCTGTTATTTTGGCATCAATCAGACATTTGTGTTATCTAGAGCCAGAGAGCCGAAAGGGGGTGGAGCTAAAGGGGTTTGAACAAACAACCACATCAATGTCTTTGGTGCAGTCACGTGATGACACAAGCCAAGTCTAATGCCATTCTGACCTTCTATTAGGAAGTAATTAACTTTTAATCTTATCTAGGGGGCGCTGTGACCAATTACATAAAATCCCATTAGGGAGTCAAAGATGGTTTTATGGTAGTTTGGCATCAATCAGACATAGCGTGTGCTTTCTAGAGCCAGATAGCTGAAAGGGGCGGAGCTAAAAGAATTTGAACCAACAACCACATCAATGTGTTTGGTGCAGTCACGTGATGACACAAGCCAAGTATATTGTCATTCTGACCTTGTCTTTAGTAGTTAGTAAAGTTTAAACCTATCTAGGGGGCACTGTGACCATTTACAACTAAATCCCATAGCGGTCATCTTTGGTCATCAAAGATGGTTTTATGTTAATTCGGCATCAATCAAACGTTGCATGGGTCATCTAGAGACAATAGGCTGTAAGTGGGCGTAGTTAAAGAAATTTGAAAGAATGAGCACATACATGTGTTGATTGCAGTTGCGTGATGACTCCCACCATGTTTGCTAATGTTTGGAGCTTTTTTGTAGAAGTTACAAAGGTTTTATTGTATCTAGGGGGCGATGTCCCAAATTTAGGAAAATATCCCATGGAGCAGTTTGTAGGTTGATAACAATCATTTGCGTGTAATTTGGTGTGAATCGCATTATGCATGTGTTATTCAGGGCCTGATATCTGTCAGGGGCGGCGCTAAAGCGATATCAACCAATTACCATAGGATTGTGTTGGGTGCCTTTGTGTGATGACACATAGCACGTTTGGTGCAGTTGCGACCTCGTCTGTGGGAGTTATTACAGTTTTAAAGATATGTAGGGGACGCAGTGGTGATATTTTACAACGTTCACCAACCGTTTGTGCCTCATTGGCTAAAGGACATGATTGTTGATTGCCATGTTCAGTTTCGTGCAGATCGGAAAATGCTTGTGGAAGTTACAGTCAAATGTAAGGTCACGGCATCATGCTAGAATTCGCCATGGCATCAAAGCCCCTCCCTTTCTGGAAAGCTATCAGAACTGAATGGTCATTACAGCATCATGAAGACAGTGTATGACCTTAGTGTCATGTTGACTAAATTAGAGGGGACAAATATGGGCATTTCACCATAAAACAATAGACTTCCTGTTGTCAGGGGGCGGGGCTTAGGTGATGTCAGCTGTCCACATTGTCATTGTCTTGAGATGTGGTCAGTGATCACACAGACAAAGTTTGACATAGATCTGATCATGCGCATGGGAGTTATTGCGTCAAGTAATGTAATGGCAAAAGGTCAAAGTTTGAGGCTTAGCCACGCCCACACCTTTCAACTTTTGAAAAATCCAACAGTTGAATTTTTTCCCCTATGTCTTAAGAGTTTATAGCATAAGTTTGAAGGCGATTGGAGAAAAGGGCGATGGGGCATCACTCTCCAAACAACGTGCACGAAAACCACTAAATCGAGTACTTGGACCAAAATGGCTGACTTCCTGTGTGACACTGGCCTTGGCTCCAAGAGACATTTTAGTAGGTCCCGAGGCACTACATTAGTGTATCAAATTTCATAATCCTCAGTCAAAGCATGGCTTGGGGCTGACAGTTTTATTGGTTCTAGGAGGTGCTATTTCAGAAAATAGGCCACGCCCACCAAATTTTCACATCAGATTTTTTGGGGGGCTGGACTAGGATCGCTCACCAGAAGTTTCATCACAATATCTTTAGAAATGATGAAATGGGAGGCAAACGAATGGCCATGGCGGTACGCCTGACTTCGCCGTGCTGCCACAGCCCCGCCCTCTTTTGAAAACCCCCACGTCAAGCAACCCTCACTTGTCTTGAGTTACCAGCTACAAATGTGTGGTGATTAAGTGAAATGGGGCAATTTGGGACCTATCACAGTAAAACTTGACCTTTTTGGTCCTGAGGGGGCGGGGTTTGTGTGATGTCATCATCCGACCATTCAGTTTAGTTTGTGGGTGGATGTCGAATGACCATAGAAATTTTTGTAACTCTATTCCATTCGGTTATGAAGTTATAGCCATTTATATTTTTTTGGCGAGTAGTCAACCTTCGAGGCCTGGCCCCGCCCCCTCAGCATATACGAAAAGTCAGTTTTATTTTTTCTATTTGATCGCCCATTCCTTCTGAGCAATTTCCCGTGCGAAAAATGATTGAGTAAATCAATCAGAAGCGGACCCTAAAAATGGCCAAAACGGGTAAAAATCGCCATTTCAACCCAAAATGGCCGACTTCCTGTTTGGTGTTGAACATGGTTGCAGGAGACTTTTCTGTGCGGACTGTTGAATTCTACAAGTGTACAAACTTCATAACTGTACGACAAACTAAGGTGCCTCCAAAATCTCCAAAAAGCCAATTTACTTGGCGGAAGAAAAATAAACATTAGAAAAACAATAGGCCTTCGCAGCGCTTACGCTGCTCGGGCCTAATAAAGGTTTCACAAACTATGTTTTAAGAACTCTGCTATTAGTTTTAAATCATCTAGTTAAGGTCTGAAGAGTCCAGGTGTAGCTTTGAGCTCAGCCAGTTCTAACGATTCTCTTTCAGTTTTTTGTAATAATTTAGTCTTGTTCTTATAAAAATAAATAAATATTTACATGGACAAGCCATCTCTGAAGTGATCTATAAGCAGGGTTGTGCACATAACAACTGAATTAGCTAAAGTATCAAATGCTGATCTGCACAAACCAGAAGTCTTAAACGGAACAGCAGCGAGCGGGAACCGGAGGATGGAGAGAGGCAGCACGATTGGTTTAAACTTCTTCACCACACTGCCGAGTCGTGTTGCAGACATGAGTACCAGACATGCATATTTACTACAGAACTCACGTGTCCGCAGCTTTCTGCGTAGTTTAGAGGGGTGAATCATACCAGCGTAATTAGATGCCAACTTGCGTACTTGCTACGCAAAACGCGTACAGGCTGGCAGGTCTGAGAATATATTCAGTCTGTACTCACGTACTCACCACAATGGATGTCAATTAACGGGGCACTCCACCATATTCTGTCAAAGAGGACACAAATGCATCCTTATAAAGGACTCAAGTATGTCTATCTGGTAAGAGCCCAAGTCTAAATAGTCCAAAGTTGATAACAAAGCTGTCGCCATCTTAGATTCGCGTAATTGCGTCATCCCGCCCTCCAAACCGATAGAGCAGTCTTGTACGTCCTGAAACAGGCACATGCGAGACCACCCCTTAGTGAAACTTAGAGGCATTCATTCCCACTAGGGACCAATGCACATGTATAGATGAAACGAGTGAACCACTCCTTTCCAATGCCGCTGCAGGTCTGCGTGAGGAGCTAACGCTAGCCCTCACGGGGGGTTTCAGGAGGAGCTGGTGGACCAGCACCGTGTGAAGTTGAACAGAGTAACTGGCATGGTGCCGGATGTAAATGACAATTTCCTGACATGAGTTCCAGCTGTCTGTGCACCCAAACATCCCATCTCCACACCATTACTAAGCAAGACTTCCTGTTCTGTTGCCGGTTCTAGAGTGTTCTACCAGCGCCCGTGTTTACTGTAGTTAAGAACGGTTCCTCATCCTTTCACAGGAGCAGTTCTGCATCCGTCTAGTGGTGATGACACCGGCAGACAGAGCAACCTGCAACCCTCCGGTTACTGGGCGGGTAGCAGACTCCTCAGTAGGCCGGGCCCTTTGATGGACACAGCCCAGAACTCTGAGAGGACCGTTCTTATAGATAGTTAGGGTGTTTCATTCCTAAACAGAGTCAAAAGGGTGAGAAGTGATGTCTGGACTGGAACTCACCACATGTGCATGTTGGCGTTCAGCTTGTTCCTGAGCGGTGCCACCACTGAAACATCAGAACAAGCAGGTCAGACTGTAAAAGCAGAGGGTTCTGGACCGAGTCCACCTTCCACCAGCGTCACACAGCTGTCACATGGCTGGTTCAGGTGTGTGTGTGTGTGTGTGTGGGTCCTACCTAGGCATGACAACATACTTGATGTTATGATACGGAACCCATATCTTAAAACAGTATATTGACGTTTTATTGAGAACCTCCACGCAAACATTTACTGTATTGTATTTCTGTGTGGTGCCACTAGGTGGCAGACCCACTCCGATCATCTTTGTAGCCGTTTTAAGTAGTTCTGTGGTCTTTGAACTATGATTTCAGTGTTTGCAAAAACACGCCGGACATTAACGACGTGTTTTTTAATGTCTGACGAAAACCTTTAAATATTCGGACATTGTGACCGACGTGCCTCTATTTTTATTTTGGCTAAATCAGAGAAAACGTCCTGAAAACCACAAATTGCCTGATGAATAACTCTGATTCTGTGACACAGACATTTTTTTCTATAATCCATCAGAGATCATCTCTGCAGCAGCTGCCTGCAGAAACACTTCTTCTGACCCTTTTCACAGACCTGCGCTTGGTGCACGTACGCCTGCATTTTATCGACTGCCACTGATTCACAATGATTTGAATGCAGAAATACTCAGAAATGATATGTTGAGCTTACATTTCTTTAGATATGTGCTGTAGCATGAGAAACACATCTCAGAAATATGTTAAAAACAGCGATTTTCACTGGAGTGGCTCTTTAAAAGCTGCAGATATGCTCTGACTTCTAGTATCCATAACATAAATCATATGCCCCCCGTGTTGTGTTTATCACATCACCAGATTATCGCCAACAAACTCCTAGTCCTACCCACCGTGTTCTGCTCCCAGCAGGCAGCACTCTGGCAG